CCATCCATCCTGCACAGTGCTGACAGTCATTAGAAACCATCAGTGCTTCCTCCTGTACACATGGAATAATATTTGAAAGTCTTCCAGTCTATTGGAAATTTATATTCTCTGAATTAATCTCAAATCCCAATCCTTCCCTACTTTCCACTGCATCTTCTGGGCATCTGCTTGACCAATACCTTAACAAATATTCATAGCAGACTTGAGATTATGGGAAGTTCAGATACATTTGGCTTCATTACCAAAAACAGCATTTTGGTTTTATAAAAAAACACAGGGTCATCTTCAGAGTCAGTGTCCCCTGCAGTGAGATGGACAGTATTCCTAGGAGACAAACAGAAGTTCAGACTTCCAGACCATTACATGCAGCCCACTATTGGGTGGGCTTTGTGGAAGAGGAACTAGAACAGCGGTTCTCAACCTGTGGGTTGCGACCCCTTTGGCGGTCGAATGACCCTTTCACAGGGGTCGCCTAAGACCATCCTGCATATCAGATATTTACATTATGATTCATAACAGTAGCAACATTACAGTTATGAAGTAGCAACGAAAATAATTTTATGGTTGGGTCACAACATGAGGAACTGTATTTAAAGGGCCAGAAGGTTGAGAACCACTGAACTAGAAGGTGAGGTTGACATCAGGCCTCTGGAGCTCTTGTGTCCTCCTAGTCCTCGAGAGCCAGTCTGGAAGTGGGCAAGAGACACTTCCTCTGGGTGAAGTGTCATCAGGTGCCAGCCTTGGCATTGTGCACAGATGGCATGATTACAGAATGCAGAGCAGTCCCTAAAGGCAGGACTGCTCCAGCCTGTTGCGCCAACTCAGACTTGTCCTAGGGCTTTCCTGATGGCTCTGGAGCTAGACCAAGGATCAGTTATCCAGACTTCTCTGGGCGCCTCGGTAACAGGTCTCAGACCCTCACATGGCCCCTTGTGCAGGGCCAAGAGCACGCCCACTCATCTTTACACCTCCCTTGGTGGCCAGGCATGCTGCTGACCTTGTCTTATCACAACATTCTCTTTGAAGGGCAGACCAGCAAGTCCCTTCTGTTGAGTATACTTTGTCCTTGGCATTGTGTTCCTGGAATTTACTGTCTTTTTAAAAAAATCTAGATTATAAGCAAGAAAGAAGTCCTTTTCCACATGTTTTCCCACCTCCCCACAACACTGGGATTGATTATGAAATAAGCCCAAGATTCTACCTGTTTCAACTTCAATTGTTCTCTTTGGCCTTGGTTCCTAAGCACCCCTGCCTCTCCCACAATATCCTCCTCATTGCTGACATTACCCCTGTCCATCTCTCTGTCTTTGTGCCTCCTATTAAAATAGTCTCTCTCCTGTGACACATGTTTCAAATGTCATCCCCTCCTGAAACTTAGAGCCTCTGCCCTCTGTTCTCATTGAATTAAGTCAGGGCTGTCTTTACATCTGGCTTGATTAAGAAGTATTTAATTGTGTTAACTGAAATAAACCATACTCAGAGGAAAAATATTATATAATTCCACTTATATGAAGTATGTAGAATAGGCAAATACATAGAGACAAAAAGTAGAAAAGAGGTTACTGGGGTTTGGGGCATCATGAGGAATGAGGAGTTATCTTTTAATGGGTAGAATTTATACAGGGGGTGATGAAAAAGTTTTGGGTATAGATACTGGTGATGGGTACACAACATTGTAAATTTATTTAATGCCACTAAAAACGTGAAAATGATAAATATTATGTATATTTTACTACAATAAAAAGGTAACTAAAAAACCCCACAAAAGTTGTTTGTTTAAATAGCTTTTCCTTGTAGATTGCAAGCTCGTGGGAATGGTGAAAAAACATGACTTTTTCATCTTTACCCAGCACAATGCTTTGGATGAGATAGTCACTCATTATTGCTTCAAATCAGGGATAGAAAGAAAAACAGAAATAAGGTACATTTTGACATATCTGCTGCCTCCAAAAATGTATATATATAAACACACATAAAACTGCTATGAACAAAAGTGATTCTAATTTGGTTTGAGAATTTCCAACTCCTTTTGTCAGTGAAGACATACTTTAGGTGTCACTGTCCTAAAGACCCCAGGTAGGAAGTCAGACCTGCAGGTGAGGAGCCTCTGTGGGTTTGAAGAACTTCCTGCCAGTCCCCTTTCATGTGGAGTCATACATTTCTGCTCCCTGAGATCAGTGTGATCATTGGCAAAGTGTTGCGGACAACAGCACACAGCACATACAATATTTGTCCAGGCACATGCACGAATAGCTAATTAAAAAGAATTCTGCCTTGAGCCCGCAGTTGTTCCTATCAGGGTAGTAATAGGAAGTAACTGCCCTGAGCCTTCACTGGACACCCCTCACGGTTCCCATGGGTTTATCCTTCTCTCCTCTAGCTCAGATCTGGTGGTGTCATGATGCCTGGGGCAAAGGAAATGATAATAAATGTTTCCATGAAAATGATTACTGGCAGAATTCCCATCTCTGTGACACCAGGTTGGGTTCAATAGGTTCCTCTTGCAGATCAGACAGAACTTTGGGGGTCCTTCATATCTTATAGGAAGGGATATGAGACCCTCCTCTTAAAAGACAAACATTTAAAAGTGTTTTCATAAATGTATATAAGTACATTTATACATTTCAAAGTGTATAATAAACCTACAAGTGGGTGATGGTGACGTGTAGGAAAAGGAAAAATCCCTTCATACTGAGAACATACTAGCAGTCACTTCACTGTTCTCAGTTCTTGAAATTAGGATCAAGGTCTTTCCCTCTTCAGATCATCAGGTAGCCATCATGTGCCAGACACTGTATCCCTAAGAGATGCACCTGTGACCGAGATAGAGATAGTCCCTACCACCATGGGGCTTAGATACTGTGGAGACAGGGTCATAAATTACATTCCTGGTGAGGTATTTAATTCAACTCTGACCAAGAACAAAAGGGCCCTGTGCTCACCAAGAGAGGCCACAGTCAAGGGAGGCTTTTAGGAGGTGACGGTGGATGTGGTCATCAAAGGGTGGATAGGAGTTAACCAGCCACAGGGGGAGTGAGAGTGGTCTATTGAAGGAGGAGCATCTACATAAACCCTGAGACTAGAGGGAGCATCAGGAGTTGGAAAAACCAAATTCCATGCGGCTGGTGTGCAGACAGGAGTGTGAATTGGACATGAGGTTGAGAGGTCAGCAGGGCTAGAGCACTCAGCTGTGCAGCCAAACCGTACTCATTGTTGCTCAAATGGTGTCTGAACAGTTGTCTGAATGCATCTCAAGTAATCACTCTAACCAGTGGTTCTCAACCTGTGGGTCGCGACCCCTTTGGCGGTCGAACGACCCTTTCACAGGGGTCGCCTAAGACCATCCTGCATATCAGATGTTTACATTACGATTCCTAACAGTAGCAACATTACAGTTATGAAGTAGCAACGAAAATAATTTTATGGTTGGGTCACAACATGAGGAACTGTATTTAAAGGGCCAGAAGGTCGAGAACCACTGCAAACACTTTAAATTCTATAGTGGAGTGAATATATAATCAAGGAACATTTTTTTTTCATTTTTGAACTTGTTTGCTTACTTGATACAGGGATAGAAGTTTCAGGAAAAGTGGATGAAGCAGTATTGGGTGGGGAGTGGGGAAGAAGCATTCAAAGTTAACATTACCATAATTTCAGAACACTGTAGCGAATGCCTTGGAAAGCATAGTCTTCTGAGACTCTCAACTATGAATATGTGAGAGGTAGGGAGGTCATCAGTGCAGTCATAAATGAATATTCAAATTGAACCTACTTGTAGATTAGTTCAGGATTAATCTTCTGCATTTTCCCATTAACCAAGGGAAATATTGCTACACTTAAAATTGGCAGTCACTGGTCACATTTAAGCTTGAATTTCAAAACCACCCCTGACTATTTTGGCAGGACATATCTGGATTGTTGTTTTAAGCAATCCAGATTCAGACTAATTTTTCTTTTTAATTTAAGCTGCCTGGAGGGAGCCTTCATCTTTGGTTACTTCTTATATATAAAGTAGAAGGCCGGTGCATGATTGCATGCATGGGTGGGGTCCCTCGGGGTGACCTGTGGGGATTGGGCCCCAGCTTGTACCCCCAGGCTCAAAGCCCCAGCTTGCACCCCCAGCCTCGCAGCCCCACAGCCCCGCCTGGTACCCCACCACGGCCTGGCACCACCCCCTCACCTGCTTCAACATCCCACCTGCGGGGTGATCAATCAGGGCCAGGGGGGGGCAAGGTCCCCCCTCCCCCCCAGCTCGGCTCCCTCAGTGCCTGGGAGCCGGGTGGTGGCCCCGCCCCCCGCCGTTGGTCACCGTCTGCGGGGCGATCGGTGGGCCATCAGGCCCCCTCTCACACCT